TATTATTTTTCTTTTTGTATTTAAAACGCAAGGTCGTTAGCTATTTAAAAGTGTTTTACAAAGTGCATCAATTCATTTCGACAAATTATTTACGTAATTCGTATAAATTTACGATGCGCTTGATCTATCCAAGGCCGAAAGATGATATTTAAAGAAAATGCTTGTAATTCTTGAATGCATTATTCAAAGATTATTTTCATATTTTTATATGATAGAAAGTAGAAACATTTAAATTATCCATTTTTTGAATTTTATAGTATCACAATATCAGAAAGCTAAAAATATTTAAATTCTTAAATTTTCAAGATATCAAGTTACTTGAGTATACTCAAATTTTTAACTTTAAATTTTCAAATTTTAAATATATATTTACCTAATTTAAATTTCTGTTTAATTGAAATAATAAGATGTCCCCCTATGTTTGTGAATGCTTAGTAGAGTCAAATATAACCTATACAAATATTTATGAAATGAGTTTTGAAAGTTATAATCTTCATTATTTATAATGTAAATATCATTTAATAAAGTCGTGAACGAAAAGAAGAAAACAAGTTTATATGAATTGTACAAAAATATACGAGAAACTCAATGGAGGGTTTCACTATGTTTCTCTTTAAATTTTCACTGTAACGAGCGCATTGAACTAGATATCAGCCGATAAAATTAACGATTTCACGTTGAGTTTAAAGTCTGAAAGTGGAATTCATTAAATTTCTCTTCGAACTGTTTCATTAGGGATGAACTTAACTCCTCTTCCATAAAAAGAAAGAACTTATTGGAAATTGCTTTTCAATTTCAAACTTTGAAAATCGTCCTTAATCCAATACTTTTTTCTTGAATACCATTAAATATTAAAGTTTTCTATCTTCATTATAAAGAAATAATATATATATATATTATATATAATAAAAATAACAAAAAAATTTGATGTTAAAAATTATTAGAACTTAAAAAACATTTTATACTTATTTTAAATATTCATTGTAAATATTTGTTTGTATTATAATCTATATTATCGTTTAAACATATGTAATGTAAAAATAATGTTTATTTACTCAACCACGTGAAATATATCGTACAATACGTACGATGTATAGCAAACAGAAATACGATTGTATATATAGCAAGCAGAAAAATAATGGTTGTATATACGCTCTGTCAAATACTATATCAATGACTGATAACAATAATACGACCAAGCCTTTTTTAATATTACAGATGATACAATACCTGTGTGTGTCTAGGTCACCGAAATCTCGAGATTCGACCTGTTTTCAAGAATTATAGTTTTTCCTCCTTCTTTTTTCTTTCTTTTTACTTCGTTATACGCGCATTGTATAACAGCACTATCGATTAAATCGTTAATAAATTAAGTATTCCGCGGTCGCGTCTCTCAATATGAAATAAAGATTCATTCGAGCAAAAATAGATTCCTTTTCGGCATTATTAAACTAATTTTTCAGAAATTAAATATTTTCTCTCTTCTATTATGAACAATTATCATTCAAACTATACGAATGATATGATATACAAATGACATGAATTTTCATCATCAATTAATATCGATACATGTTCGTGATGGATATATATGAATTTTATATTTCATATTTGAGATACATTGTTAAAAAAAAACTTTTTAAAATATATCAACATTATTCATAATTTTTACTAGATGAAAAATTTTGAATGAAATAATTTGTTTCTTATATCTTTAATTCTAATTGTTTACAAATCAAAATATATTTGAATGATAAAAATTTAATAATAATACATTTGCATATACAAAGTTAATTTGCTTAAATAATTTTTAAATTATAAAATTCAAATTATTCAAATAATTTTAGAATTAGACACATTATGAATTTGAAAATAAATATCTTTTATGCACTCATATGAGTATATATACTATGCATGTATGTAAATTGTCAAATATTCAATTTGAAATTCAATGATAACGATCGTAAATATTTAAAGTGTTCGAATAATAGATTATTCAGATGATCTTTGCATCGCTATGCATAGTAACATAAATATTTCATAAGAAAATATTTATTCATTTTAAAAAATTTCTTAATAATTATAAGTTTCTCGTATTAACTAAAATTATTAATACTTCGTAAGAAACTTCGACGCAAAACTTTTTTTTTAAAGTAAAAAATGAAATAATGAATTATATTATCACTTGAAGATAATTTCTTTCCTTTTCGTTTCTTTTACATAATACAATTACAGTTTATAATTATAGTTATATATATTATAATATATATAATATATAATATAGTTTAGAATATATCGTAAAAAAAAAATAAAATGTAAAAAACAAAAGAAGGAAATCCAAATAGATATGCATTTGCGATAGAATATTGACAGAAAAAAAATTTTTTTTATAACAGTAATTTTTTCATGAAATAACTTAAATGCAATAACATTGTTTATGTTATAATTAATAATTAGTAATATTGATTAAGTAATACAATTAATCATTAAACTCTATAAATGAAATAGAAAAACAAATACTAATGTATACTATGTATACATTAATTAATTAATTTTTATTAATATTATTAATATATTTATCATTAATATATCTAACAAAATATTACAATGAATTTTTTTTCTATAGCAAATTCCTTTTCTTTATTTTCATTTTTCATGTCAATCATATATAAAAAAACTCATATATAAAAAGTATTTTTTTCGCAAATTATATTTACCTAATTGTATATAAATTTAAAAATATTAAAAAATTGTATTTTTAATTATTATTTGTATAAGTTAATGAAGAAAATAATTACTTAAGAAAATATTTTATAACATAAGATATACAAGATATTTTTTTTGTAATTTATTATTTCATATTTCATAAATAGTTCAAAATGTATCATGATATATCAGTCATATTGTCTGCCAAAATATAATAATAAAATTTCGTAAGAAAATTGTGTTAGAATGATTATAATTATTGTAAAAATTTTTTAATTTTTCTTATATTCTGAATTAAAAATAATGACGCGTTAAGTAATTTTTTATTATATTTTTAATTACTATAGTTTCAATTAAAAAAAGTAGATATAAAAAAAAAAATAACAAAATATTAATATTATTTTTTATAACCTCTTTTGACATATATTTGTTAATATTATTTAATTATAAATGTTAATGTATAAACTGTTAATATTGAATTTAATTTAAATATTAAATAAAGCATCATTATTGGTGATAATGTTTTTATTTTAACTATGAAATTAAATAAAATTATTAAATCTATGAATATCTACGAATATATTATATAATAATATATAAAACTATTATAATAATTATTAAAATTTTATAATAATTGAAATATTTTTATATTTTAATGTAAATATAAAACATTCTTTCTCATTTATAATAAATTAAGATTTATATAATCGATTATGATCTGTGAATTCTTAATAGATGGCAGCACTCGCTAGACTTAACTTAAAATTCTATAAACGAAATATTATTTAAAATCAAGTTAATTAATCATTAATCATTAATTATTATATTATTTTATTTATTTTATTAATTATATCAATTATGATTATATTATTTTTATTTATATAAAAAATTCACTAAATTATAGAAATATATAATTTCGTTTATTTTATGTAAAAATAAATCAATTTTTATTTGTAATCTTAAAAAATAAAAAGCATGAATTGCAATTCATAAATCATTGATAAATTTTTTTATAATACCATCAGTAAAATTGAAATTTCTAGTATAAAAGTTTGTATAAAATTTAGCATAGTGTAATGATTTTATATTGAATGCGCACGAACATTTTCTGCGATTACAAGTTGTCAAGGGTAAAAATACTGCAGTACTACTGCAAAACTTCTAATAAAAGCGTCAACGCTTCACGTCAATGATGTATTGTCAGGCACATCATTTTGAATGAAAGAAAGACGTTGACCTCCATCATATCTCTTCTCCTTTTTTGTGCAAAATTTACTATTATATATCCCATTTACTTAAAAAATCTTTTGAATAAACGCCAAAACTTATATTTAATCTTATATTCTAATCTTATATTTTATTTTATATATATAATTATAGTTATTTATATTAAGTATATATTTCCTTTATTTCCTTTATCATCACTTCTTATAATATTTATTTTATTCATATTATATAAAACATATTATAAAACATATATTATATTCTTAAACATTATTAAAATAAATAATAAAGGAAAATATAATTCATAAAATTATTTTTATAATTCATAAACTTTTATTTTCTTTATTCTTAAAAAAGAAATCATCTATTTTTTTATAATAAAATTTGTATTATTGTATAAATTTGTATAATACATTGTAATAATAAAAATTTAATAAAAATGTTATACAAAAAATTTTTATGAAGTTTATTAACTTAAATAATTAGTTTTAAATTTATGAAGTTTATACTTATATGATAGTTAAAATATGTAATGAAAGTAGCTTTGCCAGGTTTTATATTTTGAGGGTTGGATATCATTCTCATTTAAAAGTAATAGAAAGAGAAAAAGTTAACTCGAAGTAACATGATGCGATTGCTATACTATCTATTGCATATTAAAATATGTTTCATGCAGCTATAAAATATGATTTTTACGATCATAATACTAAATAATTTTTGTCATCATCGCATTATGATTGAATTTGATATCATAACATACGATGTTACGACAACGAAAATCATGATATTTAATATCGCATGAAAAAGTATCTTATTAATACGGCTTTCGATATACAGCTTAGTAATGGCTTAGTATATATAGTAGAATGGCTAGCTACTTCTTCCCTAGTTAACTTTTTCTCTTTCTATTACTTCCAAATGTGATATCAGACTCTGATATAAAATCTTATTTAACAAGGCTGAGTGATTGATCATTTAAAAATTTAAATGATATTACATAATAGATTTATTATCGTTTATTAAATAGAATACAATGTTCATACTGCTATCTATATTTGTATTATAATGAAATTGAACAAATTCGGAAAGATACGTACAAATTATTAAGAAATAATGTTTAATTACTTAAGATCTAATTATATATAACCTTACTTAGGTATTAATAAATTATAAAAGAAATATGACCTGTGTTAATTAAACGTAAAGGCATTTCTTTATGTTGCATGGAAATTTTTATCAAATTTAATATATTATTCAGAATAATTAAGTCAAAAAACACAGTATCTGTGGATGATCAAAAGATGACCATGATTTGTTCGAGCAGCATATTAGCACATTTAGTGAAGCTTTTTGTGACATTTTGTTGTATGAGAATTCTCAATAATACATATGATAAAACAAGTATTTGGTCCTTTCGTGCCTTTCAAATTCTACTTTCACATGCCATAGTGGGAGCATTCAGATTTGGTAAGAATATATTTTGTGATAATTAAGTATTTGCATAGCATATTTTTAAAGCAATATTATTTATATAGAATCTCCTAATAATATATCTTATTAATGAGTTAATAAAAGTCAAACTAAAGATTAATTAATATGAAACTAAAGGAAGTATATTAATTTTTAAATATAAAACTTAAAAAATAAAATAATCTTAAAATCTTGAATAAATAAAATAATCCTAATAAATTGTTATCTATGAAATATATAAGAAATAATTATATAAAAATATCCCTTATTTAATAATTATTTATATTTTTTTAAATAAATTTTTTACTGATATATTTATCTAATTAAATATTATTAGAATTAATATAATAATACTAATTTTATTTATGTTTTAAATATATATATATGTAATATAAATTCTAAAATCTTATAAATTCTTAATATTACTTATTATAATATTACAAATAATATTTTATATTTTTATTATTTATACTTTAGTATTATAATGAAATCTCATAAAGATAAATGTAGATAAACAATAACAATAATAAATTAAATTTATAATAAATATAAACAAATTTGACATTTTATATTTTTATGAACAGAGATTTATAGAGATATTTTCAAATTCTATGTATAAAAGCAATTAATTCATATTATAAAATATAGCAACAATAATAATAATATATTTATAATATAAAATATATTATGTTTATATTATTTTAGCAATGTTACTTCCAGGAGCTCCACTTTTTATATCAGCAACTAATATAATAAAATATTTAAGAATCTTTTATGATTGGTACTCCAAGATAGTGGATGTTATATTATTGGCATTGTTTACTGGTAGTATCCTGCAAGGATATGGGATTAGTGAAAAAATCCGACTTATAATACTTTCATTGGGCATCTTACCAGTACTTTTTCATTTACAACCAAAGCGAAAAGAAAACCAAATAAGAAGACATCAATTATTAATAAATATTACTACTACTTTGCAATTGTTAATGATTATGTTGATTGGTTTGAGAAACAATAATTACAATGTTATTAGTTTAGTTATGTCGTATATATTTGAACGTTTTTTTATTGATGAATTTTGTTATTATTATGATATTCCAAGTACTGATCTAACTCAATATTCTCTCTGTTTTGTAGAAATTTTTATGGTTTTGACATTGAATGAGATGTAAATGATAAAAATATAATATACCTTTTATGCTAGGTTCATAATGATGCTAATAAATAACTGGAGAGCAGATCAAACAATTACAGGTTTGTTTGCTCGCAGTTTTTGGATAATTTGATTTTTATATATATCTTTTTGTAAAAATATCTAGAAAATATTTATTTATAGCCGTATATTTAATAATAAAAAAAAATTATAATAAAAGAAGTCAATATTGATAAAAAAAAAATTTTTACACGAAAAGCAAATATAATAAAACAATGAACAATTAATATTTATTAAAAAATAAAAGTTAAATAAAGACTTAAAAACTTTACTAATACATCGTATGAAAATTATGAGAAATTACTTAACATAATTGAACTTTAGTTACATTATACAAACATATATATGGTTTGAATTTGTGAGCAGATTTACCGTTTTCCGAATAAACATTTTTATGTTCATTAATCAATTCATGCTGAATGTTTGCTGTTCACAAAAATATTTATTGTTAACGAAAATAATTTGCAAAGAGCAGTATGAATGCAGCATTATATATTTATGAAAATAAAATTTATATATAATTATTTTGAATTTATAAATCTTATATGATAAATTCCCTAAAATCATAAAATGAAAATTTCTAGTAAGTAGAAATTTCTAGAATGTTGAAAAATTACTAGTATTAATACAAAGTACGTAAACTTTTTATGTGAATAGAAAATTAAATTTCTTAATAAAGTATTTTAAACAATTTTATTTTGTTCGAATTTGTATATTATAATACTAAATTCAATGTTATGATAATATGACAATATTATGACAAATGGCGGTAATATCGTGTGAAAACGTATCTTAATTACACATCCGGGTAGATGGCGTGGCAATCGCCTTGTGTTACTTCCTCCAGCTTTCTCCCCCTTTATTATTCTTAAATGAGTGTGACGTCAGATCTTGCAAATACAGAATCTTCTTGTCTGGTAAGGCTGACTGATTATATCCATATTTTGCCAAAATAACGAATAAAACGTTCGGTAATAAATCTCAATTGCTCGTGAATTCTATATATAATATTGCCTTTAACATCTGATTTATTAAAATTCTTAAAAGAAAGAATAATAAAATAATATTCAATGAAATCAGTTACTTCACTCGCGGAAACAAATTTTCAAGGAATCGGACGTGATATGGCTGAGCGGCTTGGTTTGGGTTCTGAAATACGGGAACTCAAATTAGGACCAAGCTTTACAAATAATAGGTCAACAGCATTTCATACTTTAAAATGTTAGTATATAAATTTCTTTATAAATTTATAATCCAAATTTATAGATATATTTTCAATTATTTTATTTTATATTATTATATATTCGAAAAAATACAAGAAATATAGTGATTGTTAATATTGTATACATATAATTGATTAATAAGTAATTAATAAATGTAATATTGATTATAGATGATTTTAAACCAGCAAGTGTTGATGTTTCCAAAGTAGCAAGGGTTGATGTTGGAACAAACAATATGATGACAGTTACTGTTCCACATTTAGATGGTGCCGGAATTCCTCATACTATATTTAAAGGTTCTCAAAGGCCTTACCATAAGGAATGCGTTTTGATAATTGATAGGGTTACTGGAGAAATTACATTGGAGAAATTAACAGCAAATATCCAAGTAAAAAAAACCAGGTATGTAATTATAAAATATATTTTATAAAATATATTGAATTACAACATGTACGTATTATATTGTATTTTAGAACAGAACCAAAGTCTCAATCACATTTAGGAATTTCTGGAGGTAATAACAGTAATAGTAGCAATAGACCCATAACTCCAGTAGAAACTAAAAAAAGTCCTACACATGGAAGAACCACAACAAGGTCAAAAGTTATTAGTGGTAAAAAGAGAGAACCTAGTATTCAATTACATCCAAAACAATATAGCCCTCATAGAGTTTCTCCATACCATGGCAAAAGTCCACCTTCTACTTCAACTAATAGGTACTAAATATATTTTAAATGCAAAGAAGTATTAGAAAATTTTGATTTTATTTTATTTTTTTTTATAATTGAAATATTTTTAATTTTTTTAATACTTTTAATTTAAATCAAAATTAAAATGTTTTTAAAAATATATAAACTAATTTGAAATCTTGGTTATATAGTAATGTTATAATAATATATTAAGATTTTTTTTAAACTTATTAAAAACACACAGAATTTTAGTTCACCAGTGCAACCATCAGCGGCGCATTCAGCATTGGCCAGTTTGCCAATGATTGGTTCTGATAATGATGACTGTCCTTTAACATCAACTGGATCATTTTCAACTGTTACAAATTGTATACCTTCGAGGTCATCATGTACAAATAATACTATTATGAAGCCTCCTATAACTATGGATTTATCTAGTGATGAAGGTGCTCTTAGTGATTCTACTTCAAGTAGTTCTACAGAGAGTTCAGATAGTGATTCAGACACTGAAAATATTCCAGTTTTAACAGGAACTAATGGTATATTTTCAATTATTTTTATTAATCTTTATTGTAAATATAAATAATTTTTTTTATGTTTCTTTTTAGGACATTTAAATAGTACTGCTTCATCCCCCACATGCTTAATGCCAGATAATCTTCTGAATGATGATTTACAATTATCAGAATCAGAATCTGATAGTACCTAATGGTAACATATATTTAATTATATATAATTTTTTATATATTAAAACATATTTCTATTGAATAGTGATTTTCAGGATTAAAAAAAGATCTTTTAAAGATCTTTTTTCTCCAAAAAAATTTATTTTTTCAATATTTTATTTTCTGTTATATTGAAAGATTTAGACAGAAATAGAACAATTCAATTTTACTTCACATTATACATAGGGAAACATGTATAGTAAACTTGATAGCATCTTCCAGATATTCTGTGTTGAAGTAAGTTATAATACATAAATGTTTTGCTTTTTATGCAAAAAATATATGAAATATGTAATGAATAGTAATATACTGTATTATTTATAAGGTATTAAGGGATTGTACAATTATTACTGACTAATATTTATAATATAATTATATGATATCTCCTTATTTTCTTATGTTATAAAAATCTTGCCAAAATATTTTAATATATTTTGTAGGAAACTGGCAAATGTTACATAGAAATTATAATTTTCAATTTGATTATTTTTTAAATCTAAATATTGTATGTAGTATATATTTCTTTACAATCTTCTTATAAGTATAAAATTATACATTATGTTATGATATGTTATGAAAAACAAAAAAATTAACGATTGTATTATTTACAAAATATTTATTTAAATAAAATATATAAATTTAATAAAATATTCATTATAATACAAATCTCTTATTATATTCACACACACACATAATATATATATATTTTTATTAATCTTTATTATATATAATATTATATATAATATATATAAAAATTTTAATATAAATTTTTATGTCAAATATAACAATTAACTTTTTCAAAATTACTTGAATTTTTCTATATAAGCTATAAAATCATTTTTATATCAAAATAATATATTTGATAATACTTTTCATAGCATTTGCATACACAATTTATGCTAGTAAACTATGTTTATAAGTTTGATAATCTAGAATCAATCTAGCAAGTTGACTACGTCGACCTAAATAACGACTTTTTAATTGTGTACAAAACATGTTGATATTATTAGTATTATCGGCACAGGTAATGTTTGTATACCTTACTTTAAGAGCTGGTTCAATTGCGCGTAAAGTGTGCACATTACTGAAAGAAACAAACATTTCGAACAAAGAACTAACAGGAATATTTTGTGAGAGTTTTAATATCGACAAAATATCTCGATCAGAATGTATTATTGGAATGCTAGCCTCAATAGTTTTTCTCACTGCAAAAAAAAAAATAAACTTATTATTTATAATTATTCTAAGATGGAAAAGAAAACCTATGAAATAAAAAAGAAATCATAAAAATATACATACTAATATTGTAGTCTCTGACGTAAAATGCGATATTATTAAAATTATATTCGTCATATTTTCCATAATTTCGATTAATATCTGTACTAAGTTTTTTTACATCATTTATATGAATTATATCAGGATGGTATTCAATGAAAGGTATTGGACTAAATATTTGATATTGATTAATAGTATTCATACGAACCTAAATATTAAATGATTGATTAATTTTGAAGTTTTTTTAAATAATAATAATTTTTTTAATAATGCACATACTCTATTTAAATAATCCAATCGAAGTTGTATTCCTGTTTCAACAAAAAGTATCAAACTTTCAGATGTAAACTTTCTTATACATAAATCTGTAACAGCAATATTCAGCAATTGATTTGTTTTAACAGATGTTACAATATTTGGTAAACGTATAGAAAGCCAAGTAATTTTTGATTGCTGTTTTTTATATTTTTCAGCTAAAAATAGTGCATATTGTTTAATCTCATAATATATATCTTCTCGACCTTTTGATGCGGAGTCAAAATTATATAAGAGAACCTAAATAATAACTCAACAATATTAAAAAATATATATATATATATATATAAAAGATTTTCTAAAATAATATCTAGCAAAAAATACCAACCATCATAAGAAAAGTTTTATACTTTTTTTCCATACAATCTAAAGCATATTGCTCCAAAAAATTCAATGCATCCTGTTTCTTTGATGAATTTATGATTAATATTATATTTATTCTAGTATTTTCTGTTACATATGGAACGGGCAAAATTTCAACTTTACCAAGTGGTTTACACACTTCAATTCTCTTTCTTAATGTTTTCTTGGTACTAATATTGATAAATTCTAAATCTAATATATAATCCATTCCTCGAGATGCATCAAATCTTTGATACCCATTCAACAATTTATTGAATTTTAATGTAATTTGATTATTAAAAATAATATTAACGACTGTAATATTAATTATTCGATCTATATCAAATTTAACATCGGTTTTTAATTCTTGTATGGTTGAAAAATCAGTATTCAAAAATAGATGAGTTTGATTAAAATATGTCCATCGTAAAATATCGAAACGTCCAATGGCATTATTTCCTGGTTGATTACCAATGGGCCAAGAACGTTACGTTGTTGTAGAGGACCTAAATTTTGCATATTTAAAATTGTTTTTCGAATATTTAAAATTTTTTTTTGGATCTCAATAGTTTTTATCTAAAACCATTAATGAATAAAAAATATAATTTATTCCCTTAAACCTCAAATTATATTATAATATATTATGTACAATTATATAATTATAAATATATATATATATATATATATATATATATATATATATAATA